GAGTTGTGGGTCCTGAGGCAGCGGGAGGAGGAGCGTGAGTGCCTGGACTAGGACACAGCTGTGTGAAGAGGAAGGGTGGAGAACTGGCTTTCCCCCTGGAACTTTAGGTCCTGGCATCCTTGCACTCTTGTTCTCTGAGGTCTGCCCTCATCCTTAACTCTAACTCTTTGTGCAGGTAAAGATCATGCCAAGTTTTCTCCTGTGGCTACGGCTAGTTATCGACTGCTTCCTGACATTACTCTTCTGCAGCCTATTGAGGATGAGGCAGCTGAGACATTACAGAAGTGCTTTTCCCCTGGAGTCATCGAGATCCAGAACATCAAGGGTATTTTTTCCTGCTCTAAAGTGCCTTGTTCCTTACAAGCCTTAGCAGAGACCGATTAGAGACTAGAGCCAAACCTTGTCAAGACAAAACCACATTGTGATGTTGTCTTGCCGAGCAGCAACTGTTCTGCTATTCGGAGCCTGGTTTTATGGATGAGTGGCTGTCAACGCGCAGATGTGTTGGGTGATGAACTGGGATCTCACTGAACTGCTGAGGCATTGGGTGCCTGCCCACAGAGCTCTGTGTCTGCTGACTGCAGCTTCCAGTACTGTTCAGTTGTCTGTAAGACTGGGTAGTGAGCTTGCTCTTTCCAGCAGCTGAGTGTGGAGAAGGTTTCTCATGTCCTGCCCGGGGTACATACAAGCTTTGTGTTTGGGTTGGAACTGTTCAAGAAGACCAGTTCTGTCGGGTTGGAATTCCATGTTGGGGATGGGCTGATTCTTTATATTGGTAGCTTTGCTGCCTTTGCTGATGCGGGAGTGCGTGTTTGAGGGTTAAGCACCTGCTGTGACCACAAGGCACCCATCTGCTGCAGGCGCCCATCTTGTTTCATCTTTTCCTCTTTAGGAAAAAAGGTGGCAAGAGTAGCCAATGCACGGTTGGACACGTTCAGCAGAGAAGTTTTCCGTCACGAGGGTCTGAAAAACCTTGTGCGCTTGGCAAGAGTGCGAAACCATTACATCTGTAAGTGCCCCATTTTCCACAGGACAGAGCCTGCTGTGGTTTGTGCAAAGCAGCAGACTGGCCAGCACGTATAGTTGGATCCTGCCTGCCCCTTCCCCCCATATCATGTTCTAGTGGGTAACTACTGAGGTGTTGCTTTGGGATTGAATTTGTTTGTGCTTCCTGTGGCAAACGTAACCTCTTTTCCTCTGGCTGTGAAGATCTGGCTTGTCCCAGTGTAAGGGAAGACGAGGGACAGAAATGAGCCAGGTGTAGGCTGAAGCTGCCTCGTGGCTGTGCTGACTCGTGTCTTCTGTGCAGTTTCAGTGGAGTCGACGGGTATCTTGCCTCCAGATGTGCTGGTGAGTGAAGCTATCAAGATCCTGATGGGAAAGTGTCAGCGCTTCCTGAATGAGCTGGACTCTGTGCCTATGGAGTGACCAGGCTGTAGCTGGGAAGCATATCCCTGCACTGCTGTTCTGGGCTTCCTGTATCTGCCTGTGGGGGTGATTTCTCTTCCATAGGCAAGAGGTTTGAGATGGACTTGTTGAGTCCTAGGACCATCTCTATGAATTTATTTTCTGTTGGTAATGAGCCTCAGTGAGGAGATGCACTAAAATAAAGGCTTTTCTTTACAGCTGTCTCTGTGCTGTTCACAATTGTGAGACTGTAATACACAGAGAAGAGAAAGTGGCAGCAGGTCTAAAGATGAGCAATAGCATTTATTTTAGAATGCATGGAGTATATGAAGGAGACTGATACGGCAGCGTAGTAAAGCACTTCGCAGCTGGTCAGTGAGATTTAACAAGTTGGTATCAGTGCAGGACTGTTTTGCAGGTGTCTCAGACAAGCTCTGGGGTAGTTAATGTGGTAGGTCAGAGGGCTTGGACACCTCTCCTGTGAAGAAAGGCTTGGAAGCATCCAAGGTCAGGTTGGACTGGGCTTTGAGCAACCTGATCTAGTGAACAATGTCCTTGCCCCCAGCAGGGGGGTTGGACTAGATGGTCTTTAACAGTCCCTTCCGGCCCAAACTGTGCCATGAGTCTCTGATACAGTACTGGGCTTCTCTGTGCAAAGGTGAGGTTTAAAGAAACATGCTCTGTAAGGACTGACTGTCCCTTCTTAAATAGCTCAAGGTAAGGCATTTCTGCCCATGTGTTAGATTTGACAATACGTTCTCCCTTTCAGTGACTTGAATGTACTTTGGGCTGAACTGGATGGTGGAGGGCAAGTGACAGTCAAAGGCCTGTCTGCACCCAGGGAAGCCTGGGAGGACTTGCAAGTTAGTCGCAGTGGCGAGCACTACTGTTAGTCAGCACCAGGTAGGTCTTGGCTTGTGAAAGTCTGTTGACAAGCTGATGAAGAACTAGAACTTCAGGGAATGGCTGGGAGTACTGGTGTGTCCCAGTTGTTTAAGTCAGTCCTCACTACAATGCTAGTTTAGTGTAGCAAATCATACTTTTTTTCTGTTTCACTGGGGTAGGTACTTATACTGTAAACAGCTTTATAGGTGTTAGGGTGGATATGCTGTATGCTTGGCATTCTGGCTTCACTCCCAGCCTGTCCCATGTCACTGTATTGTGTTGCAGCGCCATGCCTTGCTTCCAGATTTCTTTTCAAGACAGCTGGTAATTGGTTGCTGGCGAGAGCGGCTGCTTCCCTTTTAGGGCTGTTCTGGGAGCTTTCAGTGTTTCACAGCTGTGCTTGCTGGCCATTGCACCTCATCTTTTTTTCAGCAGGCTTGTAGGGAACCTTGGCTGCTGACCCCATCCCACAGCACCTCATTCATCCACTCATTCTTAGAAGGGAGCGTTGGCAACCCAAGAGCTAGGCCCAGGTCCTGTAGGCTGTACCTCCTGGGTTAGAGCTCCTAACACAGCCTTAGCTAAGATACGTCACTAGGGCTTTTTGCTTGCTTAAAGCTTGCACAGCTCAGCTGTATTAGGACCACAGGGTCTAGTCCCAGTGCCAGCGTAAACATAGAGAAGTTCCTTTCCATTCAGGCTGTGGATAGTGCCTCCTGAACACCATTTAGGTGTTAATCCCGTTTGAAAAATAGTAATTTCTAGCTGGAGCCTTTCTGTTTTAACAAGCTGAGCCAGCTCCCATGCTGAGCTGGATTACAGCTGGGGCCTCAGAAAAAGGTTTTGTAACAAAAACTTACATTGATGTTGTTCAGGCCCACTTCTTTGAGGGCTTCTGCTTTTGTTGTAGAGAGACCTTTCAGGCAGCCTTGATCAGGCGAGAGGACAGCCAGAAGGCAATAGCTCCATCACCTTCCTGTGTTGCTGAAAAGGTCAGCTGAGAGTTAACAGCTGAACTACAGTACTATCACAAGACATTGCTCTTCCCTGCAATAGGTATGGTTGGGCTTAAAGGCTACTTTAGTAGCATATGCACCTTTCTGTGCTATTGCTTTGCATATTTCCCATATTGCTTATGGGACATACCCAGGAATAGCCATGCCAAATGGTTTTTTCACTTTGGCAACACATACTTTTCAAGCTGTAAACTGGGACCTAGCAGCTGTTGTAGTCTTAATATAAACCAGCTCTAAGTGATATTATTTATTACTTTTAAATGCAATTTCCCCCTTGCCTTCTAATTTAATTACATGATCTGGAATGGTTCATCCCCTCCCTGATAATGTATGTTGACTACCAGCAAAGGTGTTCCCTTTTTGGTAGTTGGAATAAGGAGTGCTGAACAATCCTTAGGAAGGTAGTGTGGGCAGAGCAGAGGCCTCAGGTCTTACTGAAACAGATAAAAGAATAAAAATGAAACCATGACACCATGTGTATGAAACTGGAATAGCTTTACTGACATTCAGAGGTGTAACACAACCAGTTCAGAGACAGCTTCGGATTTAAACATTCCTACAAAAAAGGTTCTAAAAACCATTTAAAAAAAACCCCTTGTGTCTAGCATGAAGTCACAGAATGTTAAAAAAATCACAACACAATAAATACACCCAGCCTTTGCTAGAGCCAGGAGCCATGTTAGCTCAGAGGTTAAAAAAGTTTGAGGCCAGGAGGAAAGGGGAGGGTGCTGGTGGAACAGCAGGGGCAGGAGGTTACGTAGATTCCCAAGGCCTGCCCTTCCTTTCTGCGCTCCCACCCTTCCCAACCCCAGCTTTTCTGTCCAAGTTGAGACACCACCTTCTCTGCCCACCACAGCTTATTACCTGTTCTGTCTCCTGAGTGGCAGAACTGCCAACTAGCTCTGGACAGACCCTCCCAGCTCCTGTGCTAACACTAGGATAGATCGAGTGAACCATTTGTCATGTAAGAAGAACCAGCTTTGCAGACTGGAGTGGTTTGACAGAGTCCCACCTCATCTAAAACCCAGTTTCTGACCTGGTTCCTCCCTGTAAACTGCAGTATAAACCCCACCCCTCCTGCCCCACCAGGCAATTCTCCAAGAAGTACCAGACTGGGTAAAAACACAGGCTATTGTCACCTCCACAGCAAGAGGGTGAGGAGATCCCTTTTGGTTTGCAGGCGCTTCAGATATTGGTCCAGATTTTGTGTACCCTGCACTGGCCATGTTCTAGTCTACAGGGCATGGTAAAAAGAAATAATAATTAAAAAAAATAATAAGTCTTTCCTGTTCCCCCTGAGAGATGTCCAAGAAAGGCTGGCACAAAGTAAGCGCCTTCCATTTGGCTCTGGGTAGAACAAGCTCTATGATCATCTATATATACATATGCATGTATACATATGTATGACAGTGTCTGCCTCCTAGAGAGCAGCTGCACCTTAAAAAGGCTGATCTCGAGGGAGATCCAAGAGCACTGCTAGGCTTCCTGGCACATGGCCCTCAGCCCCAGGCTCAGCATCCTGGAGGGAAACGGGTTCATCAGAATACCAGTCTGCCAGGGACCAGTGCCAACAGGCACGGCAGGAGTGTCTGATGTGTCCCCTACAAAGCCTGGCTACTAGCACCCAGAGGAAGATTAGGGTAGCCCCTTGTCACATGGCACACTACTCTGCCTTTTGCATTGATCCTAAACCCCAAGGGATGAAGAAGTGGAGCAAGAGTGACCCAAGGCTACAGGATGATAAGGTTTTACCTAACAGAGTCTATGGGCTTAGCTCCCACTGAGAAGCAGAGGTCTAAAGATGCTCATCCAATGGAGGGGAGGGAATCAGGAAAAGCTTAATAGACTGGTTCAAATGTCACCGCAGGCCCCATCCCCCTGTAGGGAGGAGAATGGGACAGGACCCGTAAGGGGCTTTATTCAGACGAATGCTGTGGAGGTGATGACAAGGAGAATCTAATGTGCTTACTATGAGGAGAGACAAAATATAAGGGGAGGAGATGGTTGCAGCATCCCAGGCTCAGGGCTCAAAGAGTGCAGTGAGGCCTTCTCCATCTTCATTTTCTAGCACGTCTGTCTCCAATGATGGCTTCACCATTTTGAAGAGAGATGGGAGGTTCCGGATATGAACCTCCTTGCGGAACTGCTCCCCAAGGGGCTTCTGCAGAGGACAGACAGGCAGGCATCAGTCATTACTGCCTTCACAGCCCCACTCAGCTCAGAGGCAGACACCAGACTGAGCAATACCTAGGCCCAGACCCCATGCTTGCATTTTGGGGAATCTCAGGCCTGGTCCCTCACAAGTGCCAGGGAGCTGAGGTAACCACCAGTGCACCAGCTCCCCAGCTTCTAACTCAGTGCCACCAGGCTCCAATGCCACCATTTCTCACAAAAGCCCAGCACCCACCTAGCAGTTTCATTCAAACATTTTAACACCCTGTCCCCCGGGCACCTTTGTGCAAGGTACCCCCTGCCTCCGTGGAAAACCATTGCAGGAAGGGCTGCTCAGTCTGTGCTGCCATCCCCACTGTACCTCCAGGTTGAAGAGAGAGAGAGAGAGAGAGAGAGAGAGAGAGAGAGAGAACACTGAGAATATGCTGCAACAGCTTCCTGGCTGGGAATGGGGGTGAGCTGGGGGGAGGCAGGCAGGCTGCCCCAGCACTTCTGCAGCGTACCAGCGTGAAAACAAAACAGATTACTTTTCTTCCAGGGTATCACCTACCCCAATGCAACCTGTGATGAGGCGCTTGAAATGATCCTTCCGGCGCTTGTCTGCCACCTTCTGCAGCGTTGGGTTGAGAAGCTTTGAATCAAACTGCTCCAAAGAGTCCCTCTGGATATCTGGGACCTGCTCCATCACTGCCTTCAGCTCAGCGTAGCGAGGGCGCTGCAGGGAGAAGTACGGTTAACACAGTTCTGCTAGAGGAGCAGCCCTGCTGTCCTTGGGGGGCCATTAGCTCCTCTAGCCCTACCCAAGTGGGCATGGGATTAGTTTTCCACCACTCCCCAATCAACCTGGCAGCTGGACAAAGAGCAGAATTTCTCACCAAAGCCTCGTAGATCTGGAAAGCCAGGTGGACAAGAGCTGCCATGCAGCCATCGTGCTGCCCGTGTGTCTGTAAGCCCTTCAGCACACTTGTGAAAAACCAGGACACGGCATCGGGCAGGAGGTTTCCTGGAAGCACCTGGGGAAGAGGCACTGTCAGCACGGAAGCAGGATACTGATACGGGACTGCCTTTCTGCAGCAGCTCGGTCTTCCCAAGGGAGAAGGTGCCGAGGGGTGAAGCAGCCATGCTTCTCACTACATTCAGAGCTTCCTCTCCCAACCCTGCCAGAACTAATCCCTTCTTCCTCACAGAGGTACCTGTTTGAGCAGCGGCCAGCAAAGCTGTGTTGTGGTTCTTTGGCAGGACAAGGTGTCCTTCCAGGAAAGGGATGTGTAGGCAGTGATCAGCAGCGCGGTGCAAACATCCTGAAAAGGGGTAGAGGGAAAACAGTCAGAGGAACTGTTTCCCATCTCCGGGGTTCATACCTGAAGGGAGCCAAGAAGCAATCCAGGGATTCTGCAGGAGCTCCTCAGGGCCATCTTCTGAGAATCCTGCGTACTCTGCTGCTCCAGCTGAAGGTGCTCAAAGGCACCCAGTGTGCACCATCATAGCCATGAGGAACCAACGTCAGGCAAACCTGCTCCCTTCATCACCCATGGACTCCCATCAGCTGCTACTCTCAAGTCAGTGCAAAAGCTTATGCAAGAGCTTCTGAGGGGTCCACAGGAGAGGAGTAGGACAGAGGTATCAGGATGAAGGCACTCTGCACAGCAGCTATGCCAGCTCTGGCAGATTTTACAGAAGAAGAAAAAAAAAAAAAGAAAAAAAGAGCTGCCTGGGTGAAGTTCTTCCTTGTGAAGACTGGTGCCCAGGATAGAGACAGAGCCAGGGAACACCTTAGGGGCTGAATGCCCAGGGTCTCCATGCCCAAGGCCTCACCCACAGAGGAGCTGAAACTCTGTAACTGCATTTTATGCTGGATCCCAACCCCCATTTGCTTTGTGGCTTCTGCAACCATTAACAAGGCCCTTAAAAAACACATTATGTTCCCCAGAGAAGACTGTCACACTGGGGAACACTGCAGCAGTCTACATCTCTGTAGCAACATCTGGCTGCACCCCAGGCAAGTTGTGACAAGGAGCACAGAGAAAGGACAGTGGAAGTCAGAGCGTGCGCTCTTACCTCCTGCTTCATCAGACACTTGCCGAGCTCTGTGAGCTCTGCGCTGGCAGGGGGAGTCACCTCCGTGGCCATCGCCTCATCATCTGCAGAGCAGAGAAAAGGTAGCACTGTGAACACAGCCTCCTGAGGACTGAGGGAGACGCAGGGAGGCACAGCGAGAACTAAGCTGGGAGCCAGGGGACAGCACACAAAATCAGTATAGCGGCACAGCTTGCCAGAACATCTCTCTCCAAGCAGAAGGCACCCACCCTTTCTTTGTGGGGCAGGAAGGGCACCTAACTAGCTACCTCCAGCTCTCAGGAAGACTGTGCGCATCCCCCTCTTCTCCTCAGCCCCCTTTCTTGGTACCTTAAGAATCAGCTGCTCCAACATGCTAACTGTGAACCCTACAGCACATTTGTTCCTAGGCTAGACTGGGTTTTTCTGTGACTCCCAGACACACTGGCCAGGACAGAGCTGAAAGCTTTGTACCGCACCTAAACCCCTCATACAGAACTTCCAGCAACAGGCCAGCCTCTCCCTCTTAAGAAATAGGAAAAGTGCTTGCATACACCAAGGGGAGGATAGGCAAAGGTGGGCATTTACTCACCATCTCCGTCTACAGCAGCAGTAGTGTTATGCTCAACACCTTTCTTAGAAACACAGCAAACAGCTGCAAAAACAGTTGCAGGTCAGAGGAGCAGAAAAGGGAAGATGCTACTTCAGAACACGAAGAGATTATCCTACAGACTCTGATGGGCACACAGCTGCTTCAAGCTCCCCCAGCTCTTACATAGTATCTGAAGAATCTGAAAGCCCAGTATAAAAGCCAAATACCTGGAGGGCTGAAACACCCCACCCACAGCACCCTCCCCACCTGCTGCACGCTGGCTACTTCAAACTACTGAGAATCAGGAATGTGCAAAACCCTTTGAAGCCTAGAACCTGAGAAGAGCTGCATTGTAAGGCAACAAGGCAGATCAAGAAAGGACATATAAGGTTGAAGACCTGCAATCTCAATGCAGTCAATTTTCCCAGCCTCTCTGCTCAAAGCCATGCTGCCAAAAACATGATGTTGGAGAAAGGGAACACAAAGAAAGGAGATTGCTTTGGCCCAGAGACTTTTCCCTTCTGTCTGGCCACAGACATGGCAATGGCCAGCAATAAAACTGCTCTACACTCAGGTTGTCCACAAAGCAATGTCACGTATTGGGCTCCAGGGCACAGAAAGGGAGAACGCAGATTCCAAAGGAGGACTGGACTGGACTACAGAGACAGTGCCAAAACCACAGAGCCCGAAATGAAAGAAAGCAAGCTCTTTTCTGAAGGTTTTTAATTGATCTCTTATTAGGTTTCAGCTAAGTTTTTGGCAGGGTTAACTGTCGCACACCTAGCTTCTAAAGATTATGTGAAATACTACCGGTCATTATAGTTATTTTTTTACTGCACATTAGAAACTCCCATGGTCCTCTCTAGGGCAAATTTCCCAAACATCCCAGGGGACCTAGCTTGATTTCACTTACTGATGAGATCCATGACTTCTCGGGTCAGCAGCCTGACCAGCTGTTCTTCAAGCATCTCCTGAGACTCAGGGTTGTCATCTGCAGCATCATCCTCACTGAGAAGAAGAGGTTTTAGTGTGAAGGGAGCCAATGTACTGAAGTATCCCCTCCACCCAAGCACAGGGAATAAGTCACCATCAGGGTAAACAGTGTTTTCCAGCTTCCTGCTGGCAGGGCTATTCCCTGGGCAAAGGGCCATGTAAAAGACCAAAGCTCCATCTCCCTCCCCATTTCCCCCTTTCAGTACTCATATCAAGGGGTGAAAGCTTACCAGAGCATGCTTCGCTGGTTGATCACCTGCCATTTCTGAGACAACCTCTGTTCAAGACAAAAGGGAGGATTCAATACCTTCCTAAGGAGCCATGCTCAACACAGTGCAGACGCCCAAGCTGACAGAAGCACAAGAGCTTTAAACACAGCTCTCATGCCAAGTCCCATTTTGAATGGGACAAGAACTGCTACCAACTGCACTGAAGATGCTGTGGCTGTGCTGGCTGTAGGAATCTGAGTGAGCTGCCATGAAAATGAAGGGACACCGGCCAAAAAAAAAAAAAAAAAGCCCACAAAAATTCTCAGGGCTGAAGGCTGAGGAGCGGATATTCACAGGTTTGAATTCACAGCAAGGGGTGCTGTGTGACAGCCAGGGTTCAATGCACCTCAAAAGCCCCCCTAAACAACATCAAAATCATTAAGCATCGAGGCTCTGCCTTTGTCTCTGCTGGCTTTGGAGAGACAGAGATTCTCACATGTTGCTGCCAGCTGCTACAAGGAATCTGGGCTGCCAAGCAACAGGCATCAAACAAGCCATTTTCTTACCACGTGCAGATAGGTAAAGAGTGGTCCCAGCATGGGGCAGACAAGGGTTTCGTAGTATTCTGAAGGGCAGGAGAGTACCAAGGGCTTCACAAACACACCTGCACAGACCAGTTAAGGAAGAGACCCAGCACATACAGCCACCTGCTAGGGAGACTGCAGCACATCGCCCAAACCAGCCCACTCCACTGGGAGACCAAGCAACAGACACTTCAAAGCTCACCTCCTCACAGCCTTGAATTAACAAGTGGCATCTATACACAGCAAGAGCATGAGGTATCCAGCCTCTTCCCCTGACAGTTCAGCTGAGAGTGCTTAGTGCCCATTTCCTAGCTGTGAGACTGAACGTCCAGTCCTGGAAAGCGGGCTGGGAACCCCAGATAGTCTCCCACACAAGCACAAAGTCTAGTCAGACACCCTGCTGCCAAGATCCTACGCTATCCAAGCCCCTTCGCCTCCCAGAAGGCACTACCCATCTCTCATGGTACTTCCAGGACCACACAAATCCTCTGCATTTATTCTCTTTGTCCCCATACACTGGTGTTTCTGCTCATGCCCTTCTAGGCTCTCACCTCACGCACACTAGGTGTATCCCAGTTTGTTTACCTTCTCAGTCACCCTTCTTTGGCTTGGCCATACTGAAAATGATGCTAGGAAGCCACCAGGTTTTCAATTTACATGCTCAAAGCCTCCCTAGGTGGCCTGAGACAGTGACGGAAGGATACGGAGCATGGGACGCAGTCTGTAATCAGGAATGTTGTTGAGGTTGATGAAAGCTGAGCTGAGGAGCTGGGTGGCGAGACCCTCAACAGTGTAGAAATCCTGTTGCATGGAGGGGCCTGCATTTCCCAGGATGTGGAAACTTAAACAAAAAACAAGTTAGTTGCAACTCTGCTAAATAACAGGTGCCATGCCTCAGGCCTGCAAAGGCTGCAAGTACTATCATCTTGAGATTACATAGTTAGCGAGTTCTTAATCAAATACTATAGAGGAATTTTAGCATGGTATCTCTTTTTTTCTGGGATACCTGCAGAGGAACAATTAATTAAACATTTAAGCACTAAAATGCACAAGTGCTGATGTATCCTAACACAGAAAAGTGGCAGAGAGACAAACTAGGTCAGGATATCAGATAAGTGCTCCAATTTGACCACCTAACTGCAGAAGAGCTGAAAGCAGATCCACATTTTGAGGTACTTTTTCCAGGTACTGTGTTCCATGTGTATGCGGTAGGTTACAATGACCCAGTGTAGTTCACCACTGCAACTCATACTTGGACATTATAGGACACAGTTCACATAAAAAAAAATAAATATCTAACTTTAGAAGAAGTCAGCCCCCAGCAATATCCCACTGCTCCAGCTGTGCAATGTTGGATTGTGTGGGGGATATCTGGTGCTCTTACCAGTTGTCGTAGAGGGTACAGAAGAAGCCCTGCATCCTTTCTAAGACTGTTTTGTAAACAGGAGAGTCATACAGCTCCAGCAGAGGCTGAGGGAGACCTGTGGGAAAGAATAAGCTTCAGCTATATTAATGAGAGAACACAGACCACCTTCAGAACATGCTGGGCAGGCCCCAGCCACCCTGATGGCAGTGAGGGAGATACCCGGCAAGATCAACATGCAGCCAAATGGGAAGAGGTGCAGCAACCCTGGGGTAGAACCTCCCCTCAGAGGTCAGCCAAGTTCAGGTTGGTTGTACCCAGAGCAGTGTTCCCACTAAGGTTGTTATAGCCCCCTTGTTTCTCCAAAACAAAACTTACTGGAGCTATCAGAACCCAGTCAAAGGCAAAGCTGACAGTTGTGCAGCTCTTCTAATTAGCCCATCATTTCAGGTTTGTAATAATCTCTGTTGGGACACAAGCTACGGCTGAACTACAATATTAAAAAGTTTAGAGCAGAGATCAAGGCCCTACTGCTTTATGTGCAGTGGTTCACAGACGGAGTTTATAGGTCACAGAAAACAGATAAAGGAAGCATCTCCTCATTTTACAGATAAGAAACAGAGATAAGACAAAGCAACTTCCCCAAAGTATTTCACTGCCTGTCAGAACCTGAAATTAAACCCCAATTTCCAGAGTCATGGTCTACACTTTATCCACAAGGCCACCCACTTCTGCTTGGCTGGAAAGGCTTCTGTGTGCACAAGCTCAAACCTGTTTTAAGACAGTTCCAAAAGCCTCTTTCTAATACACCATCTGGAAACAAATCACAGGGCTATACTGCAGGACTTGGCTCTTGCCCTCCAGGACAGGTCTCTGCACCAGCACTCAGTGATCCTGCTGAGCACTAATTCTGCTCAAAGGCAAACAATTACAGCAGCCCCCAGTCTCTCCAGCCTGAAATGCCCTGTTGCAGAGACTACCACCCAGCTGGGATAAGCAATTTGGTAGGGTACCCTTAATTTCATGCAGAAGAAACCGATTTGCCCGAGGCCAATAACGGATTTAAATTCTTAATTTCAGCAGGTTCAAATCATAGCTGAGCTGTGAATACTATGAAGAAGCTTGCTCTCCAGCCCCTCTTCGCTTCCACTGCTATTGATGGACCACCACCTCAAATGCCTCTGAGAATCTGCCCACACATTCCTCCTGAAGAGAAGCTCCTTACCTAGGATGGCGTTCTTCTCCACCTCCAGCATGTCTAAGGCCTTTGCAAATGTTTCCCCCATCCTAGCCACCATCTCTGGCATGTAAAGATTGTTGTGAGTCCTGAAATAGAAGAGCACTTGGTTTATATTCATGTGGGTCAACCCCTTTTGCCCTTGACAGTGGGATCCTCTCCTTCAGCTTGTGAACAGCTCCTCTGAGGCAGATGATGAGGAAGGTGAGACCAAGCACGTGTGCATGGGATCCCCCTTCCCCACCTGCAAGAATATTGGGGAACCTGACCCAACAGAGACATGGAGTGACTCCACCTCATGTCCTGAATTCTCCTGGCTGCCCCTTACACTTATTTCAGTTCACCCCACCCCTTGCAAGCACTGGCAGTAAAAACTCCCAGCAGTTCTCCAGACGATGCTGGCAACAGCTTATTAGCTTGGCCAAAGGGATCAGAGAATGTATTTTAAAAACTGACAAGACACGGATTCCGTAATCTCAAAAGATCTTCTGCACCGAAGGCCCCTGCAGAGGGAGGGGCTGTTTCAGCTCCGAAATACACACACTGCCCCCCAGGGATGGGTCACAGTCCCCAGAATGGCAGGTGGCATTGGAGGGACGCTAGGGAGAACATCAGTCCAATCAGATGTTACTTATGGCAGACACATGTGCCCCCTGGACAACACATCCAGCTGGGAACAATTCCGCATCATCAGGAGGCGGCCACGGTCAGCTCTCCACAAGGGACACCAATTCAGCCACGGGTGGCTGGTTCTTGCCATCCAGGCCAAAATGGGTCCCCTCTTAGCCAGGGTACTGACACTCAGAGCTGGATTCGGCAGGGGGTGTCTCTCTCACCTACCTCTCTCCTTTGAGACCTCAGACCTCCACTCTGGGTGTCGCCAGCTGCACACAGCACAAATCCTGCAGCCTCCTCCAAAACTGCAATGCCATTGTACCTGCTGCTAGAGGTGATCAAGGGCAACTCAGTATCTCCCCCTAGAGCAGCGTTCCCAAAGCAGGGGGGTACATGGGAATGGCTGGGGGAAGGGAGCGTGGACAGACCTCAGTATGTTCTCCAGAGTCTCAGCTTTCACTCATGTCTTAATGATTTTTTAATTTTTTTGTTTGTTTTTGAAGGTCTACGTTCACAATCCTGGCAACCCCGACACAGTGACGTCTGCCTGAGTTTACAGAGAGCCTGAGTTAGCTCCAAAACAGAAACTATCCCATTTCTCTCTGCAAGTGTTAAAAAATACTTCCCTGCTCACTGCATGTGAGGCAGGCAAGTATGTAAGTTTCATAAGAAAGAGCTACACAAATGGCTTCTTAACGACCCATACTCTCATTCTGGGCTGGATCTAACACCATGCAACAGGCCTCAAAAGGGGCACAAGCTGGCTTTACTTTCCCAAGAGGGGCCAGGGAGCAACCCAGCCTCCACAGAAGTTTGGATAATGCTGTTCCACTGACTCAAAATAACTGCATTTCTGCTTGAGGCTACCCTGAAACCTAGCTACCAAAATCATCTCCTCTCATATGTCTCCTGCCTGCTCCATGCCAATGTTGGCTTGGCCTCATGCTGGGCAGAAAGGCAGTGGGGCGAACCCAAGGAATTGCAGGGGTGAACCTTAAAAACCCACTGCTCTAACCCCAACAGGATGGCCCAGTCAGTCATATCTTGAAGCTGTGCTCATGGTCCTTAGTTGTTTCAGAGTCCTTGAAGCATTTTCTCGAGTTTGACAGTTGGGAGGGCAGATGTTCACTCACAGGCCGGTCTCACTTAATTAATACTTTAGCAAGGTCCCAGTGGCAATGGAGAGAAAATGGCTAATCAGCTGCTCCCCATAGGAGTTAAAAATGCATCCAACACCCCTCGTACATGATGAAGATGTAGCCCCTAGGCACGTTCCAGCTGAGACCCTCAGCAATAAGCAGCACTCCTGGGCATGCCACACCGAGGAAAATATGGAAAAACAAAATTCAAGAGACATTTACACTTTAGAAAAGGCAAGCAAAGGATATGGCAGGACTTGGAGGAGTGTATTTTTAGTGATGGTCACAGCTCTGCTGCAAAGAGTGTCTGATGCCTAGAGAGATGGCTTGAAGACCAGAAGATGAGCCCTCTAGGACAGTCCATGCTCGAAGAATCTTTATCCAAAGCTGGAGCCGTCTACAATGAAAATGCCTATAACATCCATGTCTATCCAATTCTTTCACCAGCATTAATGCATTGGTAATGTCAGCATCAAGAGGAGTTCCAAAAGAGCCTTTGTCCACAGAAACCATTTGCTGAGCCTGACCAGTCCAACTGCAACAAAACACGAGCAAATCCCAGCACAATAAAGGTGCTGTGCCAATCAGTTCATGCAGCTACTGACTCCAGAAATGCGCCTTTATCTAAAGGTGGCTGGAGATGATGACGTGAGTTTAAATTCAGGAGAGAAAAATTAAAGCCAGAAGCTAGAAAGCACCTAGATGAAATGAGGTACCACATAGAACAGGAGAATCATCACTCAAAAAGCTGCAAGCAGTGATTAACGAAGCAACCTCAAAATAAGTCAGTAAATACAACTATCAAGACAGAGACAAATATGGGTAGGCACAAAAAGACGCCACTCAAAGCTACCTTATTTTTCCCTGTTACTTGGACTCCCTCTCATTCCTCTCGGCTCTTTGGTGTCATCCATGACCTACCCTCAAGCTACTTACCTTGGCAAAAGGTAATGGCAAAAAAAACCCAAAACAAAACAAAAACCCCAAGCAAATGGCTTAGCAACTTTCACTGCTTCTGTCTGCAAACACAGCAGAAGAATGTCACACAACATCCAGAGAGCAGCAGACCCAGCTGCTCAGCCTGCAGTTTTTTTGCATACTGGTGCCTGACTTGCTGTTCAATTCAGCTGCTCGGTAGGATCCGTGCTGGTTACTTGCAGATCTGCTCACACAGTAACCAACACAATCTGTGAGGACTTCCACATCTGCTTTCTGCATAAGCACATGAGCTTATCCCCCTAGAAAGCTGCGTTATGGCACAGAGCTAAGAGAAGCATCCATCCCCAAGTAGGAATGCAGCTATGTTCCTGAAGGCATCTTCAACACAGGCAGCTTTCCCGCCAGCCAGCCTTCCTCATATCCCTGTATTTCTTGCCTGCTGACAGGCTGCTACAGATTCCATGTTCTCTTGTGTAATCCATATTAAAGAGGGCCTGAGGAAGCAGTATATAGAAAAGGTACTCAAAGCCAGTGAAAAACACACCAGAAGCTCCATAGCACAAGCTCCAACTTCTCCAGGACATAATCATCATCAACATTTGCAAGGAGCAGCTATGAGTTTGCAGCTGTCACGCAAAGAGGCCTCTACATTCTGCAGCAGCCAGGGAAGGTATGAAGTGGAGGATCTACTGCTCTCAGTACATCAGCTGTTGTTTTTTGTTGGAGCATCCAGCCACAAGAAAATCCTGGATACCTCTGAGTGACATACAGGCCACTTCATGTATGATACTACCATACGCTCAGAAAATATTTTGGACAGCAGTAGACATGCTTGAACACCACAGATGCATTATCTCAAAAACCAGCAAGGGAGCCTCTTCCTTTATGTTGATAGGGAAGTACTGGCAACAAAACATAGCTCATGCATTTTCCTGGAGGTGGTAAACAAGCAGGCACAGAATTTCTGCTTCTTTACTGGTAGTGCAGTAGGAGTTTGACAGAAAACAGTTTGGTAATAGCCTCCTAAGCTTGTTGTAAAAGAGATCCCAAGTGTTTTTAATAACACATAAGTTCTGGCAAGAACAGCAATCGCACAAGCAAAAAGTCTGTCCATTGCAGCCTCTTCAGACCTTGGGCACTGGTTTAGTTTGTCTCCCACAATATGGAGCATGTTCCAGGCTCTTGAAGAAATGGCATGAGGCTACTTAGGCAACTCTACTCTACCTAACCTCTCCCTAAAGCTCATTGATAGGGTCTTCAGCCTTCCAGGACAAAAGGCAAAAAAAACACTTCAAGCACAGCTCCACAGCCATAATAAGATGGTTCAACCATGCCCACTGGACTAAGTACCACCTGCTGGGCTACGCAGAGCTTTGCCATGAGAAACGCTGCTAGGGTAGGCCAAGAGAGCACGTGCTTGTCTTACCAGTCCAGCATGTTGTTTCTCACTGGAAGCAGCACAGTCCTGAGCTCAGTGACTACCAAACATACCTGACTACACAGAGCTTGAGTAATAGGGCCCCCTTCCTCACAGACCTGAGAGCTGGAAAATCTAAGTGGATCTGAAAATGCTCTTTCCCAACAGGCTCCTCCCAAGGACAGAGCCTCGTGTTTTCCTGTATACAACATGTAGCATTATCTCACAAAACTGCCCCAGAAGCTTAGCAAAATCCCAGTGTCAGCAGTTACCCTGAGACAGATTCCTTCTTTATAATTCCGGGAACTTTGTTATTCAGGATTTCCCTTTTCTGCCTTCTCTTGCTCCCTCCTCTGACTGCCCCAGATGTACACAACACCAGTGACACGCAGAGAGGCACTGCAAGGTAGCAACAGCCTGAGAGTATGCATCCACTGATTTCAATAGCAGACAGTGCTTCAGGAGGCTGGTGTTCACGTTCAGCAAAACCAGCTTAATTTAATACTGAAGAGAGAACAACACAAACAGGATGCGATGAGAGCTGGGACTGCCCTGGTGGTGACTGGAGAGGTGGCCTTGTAGGGGCTGAGGGCAGAGCAGAGATGTTAGTCGAGAAACGATTAACTGGGTGGCAGATTTATAGCAGTGGAGGTGGGGAAGGCAACCCCAGCCCAAGCTCCCATTGGCTTTGATGGACTCTTGTAGGCCAGGCCAATGAACATTCAGAAGGCTCCAGTTTCCCCAGTGCCATTCCCCACTGTGAACAGTCAGGAACAGTACTTGGGCACTGGCACCAGCCTGTGTTCCTGCTGGCTTCACTGGGAGAACATGCTCTGAGCATACCACGTATTTATTACACTTTGATTTCAGAGAGTCTTAAGTCAAAATAAATGATTTCAAGTCAACTTGACCCACCTTATAAGAGCAAGTAAGTTGTCAAGAAGCTTCAGGACCTGCTCAGTGCAGGGATTACGGTAGATTGGACTTCCGCTGGGCATGTATCCCACCAGGAATCCTCCAGCTTTTGCCTCTTCAGTAGCAGCAGGCCAACGAGCTCGTTTCACAACTCCCAGAATGGTGTACACGCAAAAGCTTATCTGCAGCAAGAGATGTGGAAAGAGTTTCTTAGCCAAAGCACAACCCGAATAAATTGGTTTTCAGAGAAATGCATCATCATCCCATCCCAAAGGGATCGCTCTACAGTGAGCCCAACCTGGTGATGGGAACAAACTGGTGGGTTTGCTGCCAAAATGCAGCAAACGATCATGCTACATTCCATCATCTTCAGTGACCTTTTTGCATGGCAGGACAGCCTAGGAACTGCATACAGTCCAACGAATATGCAAGAAACCATGCAAGTTGCCCTCTATAAGGAAGGGTCTACATCATCAGTCCCTCAACTCCTCCCTGCTGGGATGGATTTGGAGATCTGTGATGACACAGTGGTCAAACTGCATTAGTACCAAATCACAAGCACAGCTGCGTGGACTGCATTTCAGTGTCTTCTACAGACCTAAAGATAGCAACTCCATTCGCAGTCTGTCCAAGAAGTGAAGACATGTCACTAATAACTTGAAAACATGAATCTCCTCAGCTGAATTTTAATTATATTTCAGGCTGCTGTCTTAGCATGACCCTTTCCATACTACCTGGCTTAAAAAGCACAATTCACCGCACCACATTTCCAAAAAGCATTTAAACCAACTGCTTCTCCAAAACCAAACTCACACCCAAAGAGTAGGGAACAGCATGCTCCACTCTGCTAAATAATCTGGTTTTTGCAAGGCTTACATGCTCACTACTGTAGCTCAAAAAGGCAAAAGCCAGCCTGTTATTCTGCAATCTGAAAAACCTACTGATCTGCACCCTAAAAAAATAGATGATCAGGTGAGAATTTGTGTGTACCCTCAACAGAACTGGGGGAAGCAAAAAAGTGAGTCCTCTCTTGCTAAGGATTACACACACCTCTCCTGGTAACGATACTCACTCTAGAGC